TTATACTATTTAAATTTTATATTATTAAAAACGAAATTTGACAAAATTTTATACAATCTTAGAATCTAATTGTTATAATATAGTCTTACCTATATGCTCGATATCGAGCTGCTCCATTGCTTTAGTCATCAAAGATGCATTATCTGTTGAAGCTCCAAAAAGTTTATTATAAATACCCCACTAGTCAAAAAGTTGTCAGCAGAAATCTTCAATCTGATCACCTGTATGAGGGTAATCAAACTTTTGGATTGTAAGAAGAGCTTGGTATAAAGTAAATTCAGGACTGATCCAATAAATAGTTACTGCAATATAAGATTGATGAAATTGAGACCACAGATCCGTTGTAAAGCAAAAAGAATCCATCGTTGTTTGTAATAGATTTTTAAGTTGTTGCTCAGCGAAAAGCACTGATTGCATTAATTTTTCTTTTAACTGATCAATGTACAGAAACATAAATCTTGGTTCGCATTCAAGAATCATATCTCGAAAGCAACTATTAGTGGTAGCATAAAATGATTGAAGATCGTCTACAACCCAAGCTAAAATACGATTTGTAATTTTATCACGTTTTGAAGATGGTAAGGGTGTTTTTTTATTTAAAAAGTCATGCAATGATGATTGATTTGAAGCTATATTAACCAATTGGTTATTTTTATTATTTGTTTCAGGGGGCAAAATTCTATGAACTTGGCGTAAATGAGATTTTAAGTTTCCTGTTCTAGTTGATAACTCATATTCTTGACTACAGGTACCTTCGTTACCATCTTAATTTGTTGTTTGAACTTGGCAATATATTTTTTTTCAACTTTATTTCGTTTAAAATAATGCCATACCCAACTTTTACTAGGTCTCGATTTTTTGTTGCGCATAAAAGCTTTTTTTTTTGAATTCTTTTACCCAGACTATTAGTAATAACAGTAACACCATTATTTTGTGATGTGGATTGTTCAGGTAAGCTTGAGTTTTATTCAATGTCTGGGTTGTTTGGATTCTCTGATATATCTGACACATTTGATTCATTTGACAAAGCTATAATATCATTGTCATAAGAATCAAGCTGATATTGATCGTGTATTGACATTTTGATACTAAAAAATTTGTTTATAAAACATAGAAATTTTTCTATCACAGAACAAAAAAAAAATCAAATTATTTTCATTACTTTCGTTGTTGTCTTTATTTTATTTATATTTAATCACATTATATTATATATTAATTAATTATTTTTTTATAGATACATATTTGATTAAGGGTGTTCTCAAGCACCTACCTCAATGGACTTAATAACAAATTTGATTGGTCTGTTTGATCAAAATAGCCAATCAGGTTTTTATTGAATTCATTGAGGCAGGTGCTTGAAAATGCCCTAAGGGTGTTTTCAAGCACCTGCCTCAATGAACTCTATAACTAACCTGATTAGTCAGTTTAATCAAACTATTTATTAAATTCATTGAGGTGGGTGCTTTAGAACACCCTAATTCGTGTTATTAGCAAGTGATTGATTGTTTTAAAACTTCACACTTAGAATTAGATATACGATTGTTACTTTTTAAATAGTGAAAATTATGTAAGTACTACGTATTATCTTATTTCTCTATATTTTATTTTTTAGCTGATATAAATGGTATCTGTTTGATCGCGTACTATATATAGCGACAAGCCAAATGCAAATTTTTGTCTATACACTTCGCTGAAGAAATAGATTTGGCCAAGGCAGCCCCAAGTGGCGGCATCTTATGGCATGATAATCATACCATACAGAGAATTGGCTTTTTGTAAGATAGTTCTGAAATGTGGTACTAAAAGATGTAGGAAGCCCCATGATCGTTCATTTTTATGACCATGCAAGACGATAGTATTATTTTGGAGGATTCTTTGGCTAATTCAAAAAGATAACAACTGTATGTATAATTTTGGTACTTTTCTAAATGTCAAAAAAAGACAGCATGGTGTAATAATTATATCTACTCATGAACAATAGCAGTGCATATATTTATGTATGCAATACATACATATACTTGCATCTGCTTATCTTTATTATCTCTATTGTTCATGAGTTTATATTAGCTTCGAGTACGTAGCGATGGGAATTTCTAATTATTAATTATGAATTACGTACATATTAACGATTAATAAGTTAACAATATTTTCTAATCTAATTATCTAATATGCATAGAACATCTTCGTAGAAAATGATCTAATTAATAGTTTTTTTTTTTATGAGAACTATTATTGATTAATTTTTATCGCTACAAAATCATTTTTATATTAAAGTATATAAAAATATATATTTTGATTCGCTGATTACACATTCTACGTATCAATATTTTCTATGCATATTGGATAATTCATTTGGGTCAGTCCATACCGTTATGAGTGTTCAAACGTTGATAATTCATTGGACCATATTCTTGAGTAGATGCTCTATCTTTAGTGCAAGTCTTGTCACATAATATCATATAACAATTTATTACAATTCTTGTTCAAAGGTTCAAAAATTCTATTGTTACCTTAATTATTAAAATTGATTGAATATCGATATTTCAATTTAAGGAATTTTGCCCGAATACTCATAACGATACGGACTGACCCATTTATTAATTGTTAAAAATGATTAACAATTTCATGTTATTAACAATTAATAATTAAAAATTCCCATCGTTAGCTTGAGTATACAGAAACTTGAGATTAGAGTTCCAATTCAGGTTGCATTTATCTGAATAATTATCGGATATTCGGATATCCATTTACTATCATTTACTATTGATATCTGAAATATCTGTCAGATTATCCGGATATCAATAGTAAACGGATATTCGAATAATCAGGTATGGATAAATAGATGACAGATTTATCCGGGTTGGAACTCTACTTGAGAAAGTAAAAGAATTTGGTTCTTGGTCTTTGAACAGAATAATTAATAATTGGCGAGTATAGTGTATTTTTTTTTTTTTATATATATATTTTGATTTATTTTACTTATTGTTAATTTCTCAAAAATGAGTACGATTCTAACAACTTGAATTTGGGATGTTGATTTTTTATACTGATGATTTCATTATTGTTATGGTTCAGGACTACGATTAATTCTAAGTTGATCAATTCTAGAGTTTCAATCTATTATGCATGTATTCAGATAACTATCAGATATCCGGATCTGAATTTATTCAGATATATCCCATTTACTTTCTATTTATTATCGATATCTGGATACTTGTCAGATTATCTGGATATTTAAGCGATCTGAATTATTCAGATAATTAGATATGGATCCTCGGGTGGGGAAGTGCTAAAGGGCAGAGTAACCAAGAGCAACAGTAACCAAGTATAATAGCCGCGAAGCGGGCGGAGTATAGATTTATCCGGGTTGGAACTCTAATCAATTCCTGAAGTTAGTTTCTTAAAGTTATAAATGTGCAAAAAGTATATATGCAAATTTAGAGATAAATAATTGAATTTAGAATTACTTTAGTAGATTTTAAATAAAATTAATCTTGTATTATATTAAGTATTATAAAAATTATTTATGAAAATTATATATATATTGTAATAATATATTGTATATTATATAGTTATTATATTAGCCATTAGTTAGCCACTTAGCCGATATTTTCATCAGCTGGCTAAGCCAGCTGATAAAAACCAATCGGCTTGTAACACTAAAAAGAAGGCTTTTGAAACAATTAAGGAAATCTATAACACGGATGAGAGAAACAAGCAAAAATTGCTTACAGATTTCTTCGTTCGATCAAATTTTTTCTGCAACCCGGCTCATCTAAAGTAATTTCAGTACCAGAAAAAGAATTAGTTTCTGTAGAAATTATACTACAAACAAATAAACATAATAAACAACCTTCTGATCCTTGTAAAAAAAATAAAAGTATCACAGATTATTTCCCAATAATAAAGTAATTTTTTAATATTTAATCAGTATTTTAATACTGATTAGATTTTATTTTAGTTAATTTTTCATCAAAATAAAACGAAAAGCCAATGAACAAAACGAACCTTTAGTTAAAAAAAAACAAAATACCACAGAACTCAAAATTAATATTTTATTGCCTTTAGTAGAGATTCTGCGAATGATTTTTATTACTTTAAAAAGAGAAAAAGAACAATATTTTTTCGGTCTTTCCTCAAAAACAATTTTGTGGTCAATCTACTTTGATTTAAGATTTAATCCACTTTATTATTATTTTTTACTACTGTTAACCAAATTTCCTATAAAAAATAGAGAATCTCCTCTGACTTATTCATTTGATAAGATTTTAAAAACCAAAAAGTATGAGTATGTGATATTTGACAAAAAATATAGTTGTTGTGAGAATTGCAAGAAGCTTCGAATTGATTGTGATCATAAGGAAGTATGCACTAGCTGTAAATTAAAAAATAAACAATGTATTAAAAAAGATGCTAGGAAAAGATTATTCAAGACACAACGACAAAAAAGATATTATTGTTATCGGCCAGATTCTTCTCAGTCACGTTCTATGTTTCTGAAATATATTGGGTCTATAGAAAATTTAGGCAAGTGTGATAAGTGCCGAAGCATGGAGTTTTCTATCGAATCATATTCGATTAGCGATCATTTTTGTGATACTTCAACATGTCCTGTTATTATATCAACATCTTTAACAACAAATAATTTTCACATTTTTCAATATTCACACATGTTATATTACAATTGTTATGAATCATCGGCAAAGAGAATTTTAATATATTAATTTTCATTTATTAATTTGAATAAATATGTTCAATAACATATCTAATTTTATCTTTATTTTTATTTTTTACTGTCTCAATTACTGCTAAAAAAATCATTTTTTTATTTATTTCAATCATTTCTATTTTCATTTCATATTTTCATTTTTGTTTTCAAATATATAATTATTAAATTTTTTTGTGATATATTCAACGAGTTTTTTCAGATCAAACAGATGTTCAAAGATCTTTTTGTAAAATAAAGTTGATTTCTCAAAT